TCATCAATTTAGTGTCATAAGCTGGTAAAATAAATTTCTCTAAAATCTACATCCATCAAACCAATATTATTTGAATTACTGACCCTAAAATTGTGATGACAATATAAAAACCGTATAAAACAAATTGCTGATTATGCCACTTTTCCAAGTTAGAGGTAAAACATCACATTCTGAGATTCACAAACTTTACTGTTTAGAATAAAGAAGAATTATCACAGGAGTTTGTTATAATACCTTGTCCATCATCGTGTTCAGGGCTGATCCTACAATCTTGGATTCTGCAGCAAGGCTTCAAATTAGATGTTTTTGCAACCGTGTCTCAGAGACTGACTTGACAGTGGCTGAAAGGTTATGTTTGAAGTGATGGCAGTCCGTTGTGACTTGGACACATTCAAACACAACCTTCCTGGATCTTCCTTATCCCTTCTTTTAACTTATTTCCCTCAGTTTTATCCTCATAACTTTCCTGCCCTTTTGCCCACTAGAATCTATTGCAAGATATCTGTGTGTATTACTAAAATAACTATTTCTCTGTCTGTCCAAGACAGTCACATATCCCTGGAATTTAAGTTCCACCTCAGTGTCTAGAGTAAAGCATTCTGTACAGGAAGAACATTTTGGCAATGGTATGAGACTCTCTCTGTGGAACTGCAGCATCAGAGAAAGAAACCTGTCTCAGTGTCACTTTTTTCACCACAAATCCCACATTGACTGCCCTTGGAATGAACCTGGGCATTAGCTATGAGAAAACAGCAACAAACTGCCTGTTCTCTGGGATAGCCATTGAAATAACTTTATATGACTACAGTCTCAGAATTCACACTAAGTGAAATAAATTACCAATATAAATTTTTTTTAATTTTTCAATCAGCATTGTGCTTTCTCAGGAGATGGCTCTTGCCCCATCAGGTGAACCTACTCAGTTGGGCCTGTTAGATGGAGTTAATCTCGATCTGTGAACACTGGGAAATAGGCTCGCTGGCCTGTATAATCCAATTGTGGAAAGATCTGTCTGTGCTTAATAATATGTAAAATAAGTATTAATTTGTTATAGGCCTTTTAACCAAAATGAAGGATTGATAAAATATAAGATAAAATGTAGGATAAGTGTTTCAGGTAGTGTTTTGCATTCACTGTGTCATTGAGGAAGAATGATTGGACAGTTGCATGTGAAATAGTACCCCACACCATGAAAATAACTCAAGTTTTATAAAATTAACATTGACTTGAAATCAAAACTGTTTAAAAGCTAAGAAACGACATCTTTACACAGTTGTATGGAAAAGTATGTCTTTTATATATATTTTCAAGTGAGTGCAAGAAATAGAGTTAAAGAGATATTGTTCAGAATACGAGCCAAACAGGTGATTATTCCAAAATTTATCTATAATTTTATTTAGGGATTCTTTTTTTGCTGTCCATGAAATTATTAACTTTTTCTGTGGCCCTTGACAGACATGAATAGTCAATGTGGCCCACAGTAATGATACAGTTTCTGACACCTGGCTTATATAATTTCCTGTTAGGGGGATATCATTAACTGATAATAAACTTCCAAGAGTTTTGTTTGGTATGATACCAAATTTATTAATCTCTGTACAAGACATCAAATATAGGCATTTAAAACTACCATATTATTTCTTTTATGAGTATATATATATATATATATATAGAGCTTACTCTCAATTTTAGAAGAGTTATTTAATGTTCTTCACGCCAGAATTGTACTCACATGATGCAAGTTTATGGATGTTCAATTTACATTCAGGTGTCATAAATTATTTGGCTTATAAGATTTGCATGTTACCAGATGATTATCCATATCACTGAGTAAGTCCGATGGTACTTGGTATATGCTAACAGCTGTGTTGTGTAAACTCCGAAACACTCTTTTTACATGTCATGGATGATGGAAAAATTTCAGACAATGAATAATTTTAAGTGTAATCCACCATCATTAGAACCCTTAGTTACAAAAGTTATAACATTTTATTCAAGCACTTCAATCTACATTTAATATTGTATTTATGTCTTTTCTTGAATTTATATAAAGTGGTTTGAGATTTCTAGGCTGTTCTCACATGCTTAAAGCATAGTATGAGTAACTGAACTTGTCTGGTTTGCAGCTATTCTGTTAAATATTTTCATTTGTCCCTCAGACAGTTGTATACTATGCACTAACTTGGCTGTATTCACTGACTTTTATCTGAACTTTCTTGCTACATTATTTGCTGCCTTTTGGTTTATTATGCTCCATTGAGTGTACTGAAAATCAGAAGACAAATTTACATTCATGGTTCAATATATAATTATTAGTTCATCAAAAATTGTCTGCATTAATCTTCATAGATTTTCGCGAGGAGTTAATACAAGAAATTGTTATTATTTAAACTCAGAGGTCATATTGGGGGTAGGAATCCACATCATTGTACATTTACGTGCTTTGTCTGTTTGGTTTTGGTGACTGAACTACTGCATAGTAGCTGTTGGTAGAGGTATTTTTGTGGAAATTTACTTAAAATGTGCTAGTTCACAAGCATATGGCAAATGTTTCCTTAGGAGCACCTCACCAAAATACACCATGCTTAATTGATTTAACCTGAGACAGGCAATATGTTTCTCATACTTTCTGTTATTTAATTATGCAGTACCAATCTATGGGGCGGGCAAGGCCTGTAATAGGCTGTGGAACCCGTGATGATGATGTGTACCAATCTATAATTACACTGGTCAACAATGTTTCGGTAACATGGATGAAAATATGTGTTTATGTTGTATTTTTTGCGCAAAATTCAAATCTGGCCTTGAAAATTCTCCATCACGTACCATTTTTGTTTTATTTTGTCTTAACGTCTACCAAATGAGTGAATTTCTTGATTCCATAGGGATATTTCTTTTCTTGCAGAGAGGCAGTTTGAACGAAAGACTGGCCAGGAAGAAATTAATTAATTCCGGGAAAAAGTAATATCAAGTTCAAGCCTTTGGTTGACCCACAAAATGTTCTCTTACCATCACCTCATATTAAACTAGGACTTATCAAAAATTTGGTTAAAGGAATGGACGAGGAAGGAGAAGGATTCAAATATCTGAGGGAAATTTTTCCAAATCTTAGTGATGCCAAGCTGAAAGAAGGAATTTCTGTCGGGCCTCAGATCAGAAAACTGTTGGATGATGGAAATTTTGAAGCCAGACTTTCTGCTGAAGAACTCGCAGTGTGGAAATTTTTTGTATCTGTGGTGAAAGGTTTCCTTGGAAAGCGAAAGCAAGAAAACTATCAGCTTTTAGTGGAGAATCTTTTCCAAAATTACAAGGATTTGGGATGTAGAATGTCATTGAAGATCCATTTTCTTCATTCACACTTGGACTTCTTCCCAGGGAACGTGGGTGACGTAAGTGATGAGCAAGGAGAAAGATTCCACCAAGATATTCAAACTATGGAAGAACGCTACCAGGGGAGGTGGGACCAAGCTATGATGGAACACTATTGCTAGTTTTTGCAGAAGGAAGACTACTCCGCACAAAAGAAAGAAAAAATAGACTCGCAGCAGACTTTTTTGTTACCAGAAAAAGTGAAACATTGTTGCCCTATGTTATTGGAGCCCATTGGCTAAGGCTGATTGAGGTTCTGCCATTATAACAGTATCTTTTTATTAAATTATTTATAATACTGTTTATTTTTACTATTTGAAGCATTCATTTGAAATTAAATTTATAAGAACATCACAAGGTAGCATAAAATTACCTTTGTTTATGGTAATACTGATGCAATGTAGTACGCAAGAAATTATCCTTTCTTGTCTGATACAAACAAATGCCAGTTGTTTTGTATATCATTGTCTAGTAATAAATAGAATGATGGGGTGTTTCTGTCCATACAACCATTCACTTTTATTTGATATGATTCATTGACATGATTTGAAAACCATGTTTCATGTAGGTTTAAGTGCAAATGGTTTATGAAGATTAAGAAGATGAATAAAAATATTTATGAAATAGACATAATTTTATTCAACTTTTCCCAACCTCAGCTGTCTCAAATCATGTCTACTATGGTCTTGTTTACAGTAAATGGACTTCTGTTTATATTCAGTTCAATTCACTTCAGTTTTTTTGTTTTAACATGCTAACTCAGCATCTACATGAGTTAAATACAGAGTCAGCACAAGAAGATAAATTAAACACAGAGTACAGAAAAAAGTCATGGTATGTTTAATGCTTCTTGTTTATACCAGTTAATTTCTGACATTCCTGAGTAACTGGATTTTTTTTCCTCCCAAGTCAAGACATGTTAACTCCTTGAAGACAATACTAATCTAAACAATATTTAGTATGTCAGCTCATGTCTCATAGAAAACTCTTCTTACTGTATATTGATGGAAGTGTGTGTCACAATCACATGCTATAAATGCAACAGAGATCATGAACAGTTACTGAATATTATAGTAGGTGGTATACACAAGTGCCACTGAGCTTTATAGTTCAACCACTTAGTTTTTAATTCTAGGGCAAGAGGTTTTTAATATTACGTGGTCTAGCGGTTAGAACGCTGGCCTTGTAATCCTGGGGTCTCGGGTTCGATTCCCGGCGGTGCCCGAATTTATAACTTGTGTTGGGCAAGCCGTGGTCTAGGCAACACGGAGTTTTCCTCCGTGGCATCCCAGCAATTACTCCATTCACACACAGAAGAAGGCAATGGCAAACCACTTCTGGATCATCTGCCAAGAACGTATATGAACAGGTTCCAGTCCGAGAAAAGGATGGAAGGATCCTGTTCATATGGACCTGTCGTCAGACAGAACACTAAATAAATAATAAAAAAATAAATACGTTCACTAGATAAATTTGTCGGGAATGACTAAGATGTGATTGGTGCAATCTAATACTTGATGGCGTAATGATAGTATTACCGAATAAGCTACTGCTGCCGGCCGTAGTATTTGTCATCTCCGATGAGATGGCAGCATATTCCGTATGTCTACGTTCCCAGCCAATAGCATTGAGTTTTTCAGTAAACCTACGGGTCCATGTAGCTTCTGCAGATACGGTGAGCGAGTGGGGAAAGTTTACCGGTGTGAGAAGAACGGAGGTTGTGTATGATAGAAAAAATTGTAAAGGTATTTGAAGTGTACCGCAGAGCAAGGAATGAGTGAAATCAAGAATCGTGATAGAATACTGGAAGCGATTGATCAGCTGCGTCACCGAAAAGCACGTCCAGACGCTGAAAGAATATGTAACTTTGTACTGCGGCGATTTGGCGTTGGTGGTCAAGATACTATAGCGGACCTAGAACGCCTTGTCGAAGAAGATATTGTAGTTAAAGTTGAGTATAAGGGAAATATAAGTTACAGAAACGCAGCGAAATGGTCTAGGTACGCTATGTATAATAAAAACAGGGAAGAAGGGTTTGCGGGAACTATTTATGGATCATTAAATTCCGAAGGAACTAGTAGCTTGCTCAGTAGTGCCGTCGCAGAATTAATAATACACGAACCAGATTATTTGGATTTTGGTGTACCTGGACACGAACTGGAAAAGTATATGCAAGAAAAAGATAGCATTCGTTTTAGTAAAAGATATTTGGAAGTTATATTGCAGCGTGAACTTAATTCTGGCAACATAGTGAAACTCGAGAACGGGAATTATTCCTTGGCTGATCACCCGGTACCGTCTAATCCAAATGTAAATAATAATTCTGATAATAACGAGACAATTAAAATGATGAAAATAGATTCGCCTAATTCTTCACAAATTTCAGAAGAGGAACAAAATGTACCTAGGAGCCAATTGAATGGCATCATAAATGAAACGTCTCCAACAGAAACAGATGTTAATAATAAGAATGACGACGATGTATATGACGCAAAGAAAGATACCTCTGAGACAAATGTGTCCTCATCCGTTTCTACAGAAGGATTTCGTGACGGAGCCAAACGTAAGGTAGTATTCCAATTTAGGTGTCACCGTGTAGGTAACATGATAGCCGACTTACACTTTACAAAACACGATGTAAATTGTAGGATAATTGCTTCGTAGTGACCAATGTTTATTGTGATTTCAGCGTTCGAAGAAAGTTTTCTTTGATCCATCTGATATTCATATTCCAACTCGAAAGCGTGGACGTCCTGTGGGTGCGACAAGTAAAAATAAAGATAAAGATCTAATGAAGACTAGTAGCGCTTCTGCCAAACTGGAAGTTGACAGAGGTACTTGTTACATATGCGTGAATCAAGGTCAAGATCGCCGCGGACAGTTTGAAAAATTAATTTCGTGCAAAGATTGCATCAATAAAGGTAATTAAAATATTTACAATAATGAAGTATTTTTTGTATTTGGTTTCTGTCTGTATGGGCTTAATTTTCAACGAGTTTTTGTTTTCTTTCCATGTTCATGATTTCCAGTTCATCCAAGCTGTATAGATTCAGGGACTGGAGCTAACTCTTCCCATTGGCAGTGTGTCCAGTGTAAAACCTGTGTTGTTTGCACTGAAACCATAGACAAGGTACTTCTTCAGTGACAATTTTAAGAGTGAAGGATTTGTGAATGCATGATGACTCTTAGGAATTAATTATCTTTGTTTACATCATTTTAGGAGTGTGTGTTTACCTGTGTTATATTGTTAAAAATTGTAATTGGTTGTTAAGTTAGATTGTTCTTTCCAATCAGAATTGTAGCCCAAGTCCATGTAATCACTTAAAGGCTCAACATGAACAGGTTTTCCTTACAGTAAGAGACTGCAACATGTACACACAAGATAACCTAGAATTTTTGAGGTTATGAAGTTTCAGAATAGAATATAATTTATTTACATTCCACAGATCCTTCATAGGCCTAAGCCAAGGGTGTAGAACAGGTCATAGCATAAATAAAATACAGCTATTTACAGTTTTTTGGGACTCAAGTATTACAGCAAAATAATTATGTTGAGAAACCATCACCATTATTACTTGCATGTATTTAAAATAGTTGAGACTTTTTGGGTGATGTAAATTCTTCTACTGGGTAGGAGTGAGATAAGAGATACTCTTTTAACGCTGGCTTAAACATTTTTATATCATGATTTAAACTTTTGATAGTAGGTGGAAGATTATTGGCTAACTTAATTCCAGTGTAGCAAACTCCCTTTTGATATTTACTGAGGTTAGAATTTGGCACATGTATTCATGTTTTTGTTATTGTTACTTGGAGGGGATATTTGTTCAACACATTTTCAGTGATATCTACTGTATTAAAAGTGATAAGTGTGGATGATTGTTTGATACAAGTAGTGTAAATGTGAGAGGAAATTACATTATTGTTTTAATAGCATACCAGATACTCGGAGTGAGTGGAAACCATTGTGCTTGGTTGGTTTTTGTTACATTTGTAATTTGACCTCTTTTGGAATTTCTTAGCATTCAGATACTGTAAAACGTGAACCAATATGGCAACTTGTGGCATGTTATCATGTAAGGTATAATTGTTTAACTTGGCATTTACATTTGTTTGTCTGTACATTGTTATTAATATGTAATACAGTTAAAGAATTCCTGGTCTTGACACACATGGCGAGTGTTTTTCTGGACACTTTATGCCAAGAGAGTACCTTAAGAATGGCTGTGTCTAGGTTGAGTGTGGGAATTTTATGATTGTGCTAGAATTTAAAATGAAAAAACAACAACAAAAGTTTAATAAACCAGCCACTTGTCCCACAATTATTGGCTGTTTGTTTCTTTACTTGCCATACACATTTTGGCTTCATGAAGCCATTGGAAGTGGTTATACATTACTTATTTTGTTTAATATTTATGATGAAAGATGACATTAAAGTATAGAAACCTACATCCTAGTAAAATGACTGAATTGCACAGACATTGAAATTGAGATAGGATGTTTAAGTAATATATAAATAAGCATCCCACACTTGTTTACAGCCACCATATCACTGCTGCAATATGCGTTAACTGTGCATCTATTATAACATAATTATTTTGCATTACTTTCACTTAATATTGTTATAGAATTCATTTTTGTCTTTGTTTATTACAGGCAATTTTCAGTTTGACAGAATTTCTACAAGGAGTATCTCAAACTATTAGTTTTGTCATAATTTAGTTTTGACTACCTGTAATAGCTGGTAATCATAATCTTGAACCTGGCAGTTTTTTTAGTCATGTGAAATTCATTATCATTCTCAGCCTTTCACATCTTGATCCTAATGTTCTGGCCTTGAGAATTTTTCACTTCACATCATATTTAATGGGTACTAGAATTACTTTCTCTAGGTATAAGGACACTTAGGATGCAAAGCTAAATTAACCGCCTGCCTGCATGATGTACTGTGGTCTGGCTTAAGCATTTGGGATATTTCATGAGTTTATTCAAGAGACCAGTACAATTGAACATTTAAGTAGCAGATTAAAACCCTTTTTAATGTGTGCTTTTGTGTGAAAGTAAGGAATTTGTATTAAGAAATTTGAGAAAATGTGAAAATTATAAAACAATATAAAATTGTTTGATACTTATTACTGTTGCTACCAAGCTTACATGCACCTTCACCAGTTTTGGAACTATTGTTGGGATGATCTAGTTGGCATATTTTTCTGTTTTGAACAGTTTGTGTATAACTGGTACAGAAGTGAGGAAGGCGGTAGTAGCTTCTGGCATTCTTAGCCTTTACAGAGTACAAAGAAAACATATTTTGAATAATGTGTCCTGACAGAGTGAATTTAATCTAGCCTTGTTATCTGTGCCACCCTGCCATATATATGGATTAGGTTGGTACATAACGTGGTAGGTTCTCGTATACTAAACAGTGATTAAATAAAGGTTCTCAGGGACTACGTAACTCAGTTTGCATTTATTAAATTTATAATTGTGATTCCTGCTTGTTTGATGATAAGTGTAGAGTTTAATCCAGGCTTATGAGCATGCTGTTGCATGATGGATTCTCTCAGGCTTGTTGTTGGATGAGGTAGGATATGGGTTGTGCAGGATTTGATTTAGCGCCTCTGGGATGTAGATGTTGGTAGTGCATCACCCTTGGGATTGTTTGGAAACAGTATTCAGATGTTAGTTCCCTTTAAATTCTTGATACAGTTATCACAATACTTCACTTAAATCCAAAGAAAACTAAGGTTTATTAAACACAATCCAGCTGCTAGTAACTTTAGTCACGCAGTTGGGTTCCAAACTAGTTACGCTAGATAGGGATCAGAGTGGGTTTTACCTGAAGATGGAGATAGACTCCCATCTCCGAAACGTCATGGTTCTATTGATTTTATTCTATTTAATCTTGGGTGATGGATAATGCCCAGAAAACTGTTTGCTTCAACAATTCACCATTGTCACAGACTTTCAAAATTGAGCTAGTTATGTTAACTTTACAACTTCTGTACTATTGTGAGAATAGTCAGATATGCTGATTCTAATACATGTGTCATTGACAGATTATACAGTTCTTGGGATGTGTATGACTGTAAATTATTTTGGGTTTTGCACACGAGTATTAATAGCGAGCTTAAAAAGCAATAATGGCCGCTTGATTTGGAGGTCTGTCACCTTCATTAATCGCTACCTCACTCAGTATTAATAATTCCCCATTCCTACAGCTGCTACTTGATGACTAAATCAGTATGTGGGCTAATTTATATGTGACCATTTGCCTGCGTTTGACTGAGTGCATTTCACTGAACTTGTTCTGTACACTCTATATAACATTAGCAAGTCAGTGGATAAGCTGTTGCTATATGTTTAATATGGGGGCCTGAAATTGAACTGAATTGAAATATATGATTCCAAACTAACTGGTTATAAGTTTAGGGCAAATATCAACCTATATGTTATTTTGACTAAAATAACGTAAACCGGAGGAACCACTAGGGGTATTTCTATATATAAGTAGTAACATTATTGTTTGCTTAATATTTACAACTGAAGATTGTATTCTTATAGTTTTGTAAGTGTGGTAATTATGTGTGGCTTTAAAATAAGTGTAGAAATGAATTCGCTTTCTAGGGAGTAATGGTGGTGTGCTGTGGCTGTGGTGACAATTATCATCTGTCCTGTCATGATCCAAAACTTTCTGATGGAACAAGGAGCAATGAATTTGTGTGTTCACGATGTATGCCTTCACCCACAACACCAAATTATGGTATGGGTAAGTAGTTACTGAAATATGAAGATGCTTTTAGCTTGTTTACAGTGGGGAGGCTATTGAATTGAGATCATAAGATGGAACACACTCACTCGCTCTGTGGTGCAGGACATTCTTTGATAAGTCGATGGTTTACTTGGCTTGTCAAAGAATAGGCCACATTCTTTATGGAACCTGAAGGTTTATCCCCGTGTTCACAAAAGCCTGCCACCGACTCTATCCTGAGCCAGCTTTATCCAGTTCCCTTCATCGATTACTATCTCCCTAAGATCCATCTTAATATTATCCTCCCACTTACACCTAGGTCTTCCCAGCGGTTCCCTCCCTTCAGACCTCCAAACCATACCTAATGAACACCCTTCCCCTCCCCCCATGCATTCCTCATGTCTCACCCACATCATAAGATAGAGCATGTAGATTAGCATATTGACTTGTATACTTGGAATGGGCAAATCCTGGCTCCTGTCACTTTTTATATATTCTGAGTGAAATTTTAGTTTTTTTTAATACTTAATATAATTGACTATAATCTATCTGATGTGTACAATATCAAGGCGGTTTATAACATTGACAAATCAAAATTTATAATTTGTTTTGTGGCTTTGAAATTTTATCGTGGTTAAGAAACGCATATTTTTATTTACTCATTACACCAACCATGTTTTGAATTTACTTTCTTAATTGTTGTTGGTAACTTATTTTGTATGTAATGTTATGGCCTGTGGTCATGAAAAGAAAACTGGATCCAGCCTGAGGCTACTTGAAGGTTGCCCATTCCTTATTTTGTATGATTTGAGGTTTTCACAGCCGTGAGTCTGAAGATTTCTGTCTTCTGGGTTGTTGCGCTGTGTAGTCTGGTAGATGTTTACCAACGTTTCAGAGGTCATTCATCACCCTGATGACGGAGGCAATATGACCTCTGAAACAACACAGTGCAACAACCCAGAACACAGAAATCCTCATACTCCTTAATTTGTTTGTTGCTTCCTGTCTGTGTTTCCTTTCTAGGTGCCTGAAAAGTTAATACAGTTGTGCAAAACAAATTTTTGATTATTTCTGCATGCAAAAATTCATTACTAAGAACAACATTTAAATAGGAATTTCCCCAAAGAAATCAGTATGTATAATTTAAATTAAATTAAAGTTCCAGGGCTGACAGCATAGAAATGACCGATTGTTGTGTATCATTGCCGATGATTCCGAAGATCATTGAAGTAGTCTTGGGAGGGATTTTTGGGAATACTGCAGAGTCACATTTGCGGGTGTTTTAATGGATTCAGTTTCGGTATAATAATGATCTTCCGCTTATTGAATAAGTCTTGTAAATAAGAGATACATGGAATATTAAGTATGTTGCAAAATAGACTTGATTTATTACGAGGTCTTGGGTGGTTAGTGCGTTACGTGGTCTCGTCATTGTGCAAGAGATACCACTTTTCTGATGAGGTTGACGGACAAAGAGCCCTGAGTTAACAGTTGCTACTGAAGAATGAATTGCTTATGTAGTTTTCATTCACAGTTGAAAAAACAATTAACATTTTCTTTATTTTTTATGACAATTCTTTTCTTGTTTTCAACAGAGCATGAGGTGGACAAATGAATGAAGGTTTTTGTTATATTACCACGTGCTTTCCGTTGTAGCTGTAAGTCTTTATGGTATTTTTTTGAGTTTAAAGTAAGCGTGTTCATTCATTATGAGTCAAATGCCATGACAGGAGGTGCGGGAAGTGTACAACCCTCTACCAGGACAGAAATGAATCTGTTTAAATTTGGGTGGAAGTGGTGATAGTGTGTGTGTTGTGTTCTTGGAAGCAGGTGAAGTTGCCCTGGTGATGGAAGCAGCAAGCACCTTTGAAGCGTCGGTAAAATTCTACCAGACTGCATGTAACAATAACTTAAAAGGTAGCCGTAACCATATCTGGAAATCTGTCAGTTACCTATGGTATAATTAGAAGAAGTTAGTCATGGAACTTTGTGTAAATGTGGTATATGTTGATGTCATTATTAATTTTTCTTTTAAGTGGATGCTCAAGTTGATGACGGGATCCCAGATGTTTCTGGTTGGAGCATTGAACAAGTGTCAAAATATCTTGAGGAGCAAGGTTATCCAGTACAAGCAGCTGTATTTAGAGACCACGTGAGTATGATAATTATGTTTAAATTCTTAGGCTAAAACAGAAGTCATTTTTTGAACTCAACATTTGGAGTAATATGAAAAACATCCAGAGCTGGTTTTTTTACAGTGATGTTATTTGTTTTCCAGTAGACCTGACATACTTACAAAATGACATTTTATCGTACTGCAATTCATTAAAATAATCATTCTTCTCTTTACAAAATTAGGTCAATAAATTACCTTTTCCGTCCTGTATTGACTGTGTATCAGGGTTTATTGAGTTTATTACCTGTATTTATTATGTATTTTCCAAAGTTAGTGGGAGTTAGTAATTTATTTTAGTTACAGTTTTATTAACATTTACAGTTTTTTGTAGTAAGCATAGTATTTCTTATCACTCAATATGTGTGATTAACCATTTTCTGTCTCTTTTAAATACCACTACGGCTCTCTGCTGGTCTATTTAAATACGACTAAGCTATGCAAATTCAACTACTGTTATGAACTGGTTTGATTTTCTTTTACAACTTGCATAAAGCGGAAGAAACTTTGCTAAATATGGTGAAAATATGTTCTGAAAGGATCACAGTTCCTACTGTTTAAATACTGACCATGTGAAATATTTTTCACGGACTGTACCACTGTCGCTAGTGAGATGTGTAGTAAAGGTTGCTTTTCTGCTTGTTGTCGTTCGGTAGAGAATAAAGCAAGATGAAGTTGATAGATATGACTTTCGCGATGTTTAAGCGTATCTTATTGCATGCAGATGTATGATGTATAAGCATTGGATATCATAATCTCAGAGCTATGCTTCCTTTTGAGCTCTTTGTGTTTGTAAGTTTAAGACCGAGTTCAACACCATAAAAGTGTAACAGTGGCTGGTTGCTCTATGCGTCAAAAACAATTAAAAAATAGAATTTCGTACTAGGAAAAGATATTTGTTTTATAACTTTATCAGATATAAAATATTTATATTCTAAGTAAATATGACAGCCACATACCTAACAGGTATTTCTTCACTGTATGATATATGGTAGAACACTCAGGGTGGAGTCCTGGCTTCCTTGGACACATGTCACAATAGAACAACACATCTCTTCTGCTTCCTTTCACTATTATAAGGTACACAAAGTCTTACCAGAAAAACTTGGATGGCACTAGTGGACAGATGAAAGCTTAAATAATATACTGACACTGTTTGCCAGCCTCAGCTTAAGTCCAGATCTCGTATAAAATTAGTAAAACACGTGGCAGACTCAGTCCAACATCAGATTTTTTAATGTCGGACTCAGTCTGACATAGGACTGCAGAGGGTTAATTAACTAACTAACTAACTCCCTTGTAACAGAACCTGCAGGTTCAATACCGACAACAACAAAATCCCTCCACTGGTGACGATCCTGAGCCAACTCCATTGATTTGCCATCCTCACAGCCACCTTCCTAAGATTCATTTTGATGTTATTCTCCCATCTCCTTCTTGGTCTGCCCAGTGGTCGTTTACCAGAAGGATTCCCAATAAAAACCTTGTGTGCGCCCCTTTGTCCCCCCAATGCGTGCTGCATATCCAGCCCATCGGAGCCTCCTAGATTTCACTATCTTCACTGTGCTAGGTGACCCATGCAATTCACGCAGCTTCATATTATGCAGTATTCTAAATTCCTCACTTATTTTATCCCTCCTTGGTTTAATTAGCCTCTTGAGCACCCTGTTTTCAAACACTTGTAATCTAAGTTCTTTCTCGAAGGTAAGAGGCCATGTTTCACAACCATACAAGACAAGAGACAAAATTATTGTTTTTTAACCTGATCTTCAGTGTTTTGGATAGTAAACGAGATGATGATAATGTTTGAATTGAATAAAAACAAGCATTCCCCGAATGTATTCTACTCTCAGTTTTATCATGGACCTCATTTCTATTTGTTATTGTTGTTTCCATATACTTAAATTTTGAAACATTTTCAAATTGTGTTACTTATAATTATGTTTTGCCATTGTTGATGTTGATCCCGTATTATGCCCATGTATTTAGTAGGCCTATTTCCTTGCTAGCCTGTAGGAGAGTTTCTGCATTCTTGGTTATGTTACCTACACTATCCCCCAGCAAATTGACATCATGAGCATAAGCAAGTACCTGGTGCAGAATTAAAAAGAATTGTGGATAAGGCATCCCCTAGCATGTTTGATTGGATTTATTAATTGTATGTTTCAGTATTTAAAAAGTTGAATTAAAATTTGTACTTGCTCTGAAATTTCAAGGCCAGTACAATATTTAGCGTGTACTGCAACATTACCTTTGTTTTATATCTTGCTCTCAGAATGTCTTATTTATTTATAGTTTACTTGATGAAACTTTCAGTATCTAGTCTATATAGCATTGGATGAGATGATGATGATGAATAATAAATTATAAAGGATGTGGAAGGAAGCAGTCAAGGCCTAATTTAAGGTACTATCTCAACATTTGCCTGGAGGGACTGAGAGAAATCATAACAAACCTTAGTCAGGATAGCCAGTCTCCGAGCTGAGATTTGAACCTGGGACCTCCCAAGCACGAAGCAGGAGAGCTAACCACTCAACTATGACATTTGATCGAATGTCTTATCACATATATCATTTCCACATATCCATTTGTATGTTGTGTGTACTCTGTATCTCAGTGATGCTACAGACAGAATAAATGAGTACTTATAAAAAAATTTAAAAAATATTTATTTTATTTAAATGCTTTCAAAACGAATACACTCTCCAAGCAAATACCTGTATAGTATTTTGTAATAGATTATGACTGCTTCCTTTCACATCCTTACTAATTCAGTAATTTAAGGGACACGTAATTTATCATTTGATGTTCGATGTAGTTAACAAGATGTCATTATATAAGCAAAGAAAAAAGAAGCTGAGATGTAGCAGGAACTGCATTATAGATTTCTGTTATTGCCAGTGTAAATCTCATTTGTGCTTGGTGATTTTCCCAGCTATTTTAAATATTTAAATACAACAGAGAAGGTCCACTGCAATTTAATGGGGTCTGTTTTCTTTTGTGTCTTTATTTCTTTCCTTTATTTATTTTATATATTTGTTTCATTTAGATATACTAAAAGTTTCAAAATGGCAACAACACTTATAAAACAGAATATTCTGTCACCTAGCATCTTTACTGAGAATTTGGTTGTGCATAACGCATGCGCACACATTAATAAAAAGTATGCTATGTTATTTTTTTCCAAATGGTTTAAAATGCATTGTATTTGCTTTGTGTTTGATACTGATTTTGTGAAATGCTTACACACTTTGAGATGTTTGTTAACATTTTAGTTTTCTAGTTTATGCAGTTAATGATTTCATTTAATAAATTAATGTTAATTTTCAAATACCTGATGCAATTAGTTCATTTTTGAGCCCTCTCTGATTCTTTTGGCTTCTCTAGGTTAAATGGATAATTGAAAAAATATTTTTTTCTTTTAGTCTGTTATAAATTAGTTAAAGTGGATGCCTGTGCATTATCTGAAGTTAATTGTTAATCCAGTGAAGTCTTGGGTGATAAGCCGTATGAGAACAGAGCAGGAAACGTAGTCCATGGATGATTGACCAAGAACATTTATAGCATTTGGTCATCTGAAAGTTTACAATTTTATCAATATTTTATATTTATGTGAAGTAATTAGTTTTTAATATATTTTATTATACATACTAAAAGTTGTTTGTTGTTTGCTTTTTAATTCTGAGACCTAATTTTTTAATTATTAATTAAATGGGTTATGTAAAAGTGGTGGTACTCCATATTTTATGTCAATTTATGCTACCCAAAAGTTCGGGAAATTTGAATTCCACGCTTGAACCGGTTGTGGAATGGCCTGCCGCCGCTAGATGGGGCGAGCAATAACCTTTGTGAATTAGTGTACCAACAGCCGTGAAGGCGAGAGGCCGCGTTCTTGAGTCTCGTGCGTTTTTGTAAAGTCGTGTTGTAGTGGTTCTGCGATTTTTTAAACCTGCATAAATGGCAGAGTTTAAGGAGCAAAGAATCTGCATCAAATTTTGCATTAAGCTTGAAAAAACTGCTGTAGAAACCCACTGCGTGCTTGTGGAAGCATTTGGTGAGAATGCTATGAGTCAAAGTAAAACTTTTCTTGGTACAAACGCTTTAAGGATGGAAGAACGCCTGTCGACGACGATGAGCGTTCAGGACGACCATCGACAAGCACAACAACGGAAAACATCGTGAAAGTGCAAGAGGCTATGGATGCAGATCGTAGACTTACAATCTATGAAGTTTTGAAGCAGCTACAGGAGAGCATTAGGCGCAAACGTCTGGAAAAGCGGGAGAACAACAGCTGGGTTCTCCACCACGACAACGCGCCCGCCCACACATCGCTCGTTCTTCAGTTTTTGGCTTCCAAAAAAACGACAGTGATTCTCCACCCACCCTATTCGCCTGACCTCGCCCCCTGCGACTTTTTCCTATTCCCCAAAATCAAATATCGATTGAAAGGCCGTCGTTTTGACACAATTGAGGAGATCCAGGCTTAAAACACTCACACTTCAAGACTTCCAGGGATGCATGGAATCATGGAAAATACGCTGGGATCGCTGTATCCATGCCCAAGGGGACTACTTCGAAGGAGACGATGGACACTAGGAGTTATGAAAAGCAATTTTTTTATGGGCAAATTCCCTGAACTTTTGTGTAGCACCTCGTACTATGATTTAACATTATAACAGGGACATTCTACTCAGTATTGTTAATAATGTAAATAAATATTTTATATAGGACACCTTGCATTAAAATGAGGTAAATGTGTGTATCATTAGATTCTTTATATTCAAATCTTTAGCAGGTCTTTAAAAACATGCCTCAAATCTAAAATTTAGATTCTGTGTAACAGCCAGTGCTTTTTAGATGAAGAGTGGGATAGTATTGCTAGGTGGTAAATGAAGAATCAAAATATCATGGTGTTCTGGGACCTGGTTTGTCAGTTTCATACCGTCTTGAGACTTGTAATAAAAAGTTTAATTTAAATTTTTATTACTGTAGTGTTAGTAAATGATATCACAGAAGAGCGCAATGTAATTCTTTTTAAATGCTATCGTGACATTCAAAACCTTGTTTCATTTGTTATTTGTTTTGTATCTTTACTTTGACTTTGGGGTAAGTACAGAAAATGTTACTGCCCTCAAGATAACATACTGTGACTCAGACATCATTTATACATTGAGTGAACAAAAGTAATGTTTTTCTTTTGTTTACTACCTGTTTCCGCATTTTTAAATGAATCCTGCATTTAACTTTACATTAGAAATGATTGTAGGACACAGAACCAAATGTGCGTGTTGACCATCTAGTAACATCGTTTAAATACAAATTATGTTTTGTAGGATATTGATGGAGCCTCACTACTTCTCATGAAAAGAAGCGATGTGTTAATCGGATTGCATTTGAAGCTGGGCCCAGCACTGAAAATATACGGTCAAGTGAAGAAACTTCAGATTCGGCAGAGTGATCCCATGTTACTCTGGCCTTGAAGGTGAACATGTTTTGCACAAATAATTATGTATTTATTAATTCCTGTGTTGATACACCAAAGACGTGCATCTTTTAGTCTCCAAATGTGCAATATTTTTGAATGACTTTATGTAAAATAGGACACTGTGTTATGAAATACTGTGAGAGATGGTGAGAAATTAGAGAGAGAAACATAATTTGTGAGACTTGTATTTATATTTTATAGAAACTTTTTTTGTTATAAGTGCAGAAGGAATTAGAGGAAAATGTATTATAAGCATATACATTAGAATCTGCTTAAACTGTTTCCACATCCATTGATACTGAGGGTTCTTTTCCCCTCCCCATTCTATTATGAATGAAACTTGCTGGTCGCAGTGGCCATGCAGTCTGAGGCATAGACCTTGTGCGCTTGGGCACTGGGACCATGGGTTTGACTCCCACTCAAAGCATGGATGTTTGTCCACGTCTTTCTGTATTGTGCTGTCCTGTGTAGGTAGAAGCCTTGCGATGGGCTGATCACTCGTCCAAGGAGTCCTACCAAATGTCTAATAAGGTTAAATGAATGAATGAATGTATGTGTACCTCGACACCTGCGGGTAAAAGAGGATAAAGACTTCTATAAAAAATAAATAAACAAAAAGAAACTTAATGGTTTATTTTACGATTCAGCAAGAGATAAAATTTTTCATATTTGTTTCAGTGCTATAAAACCTCTTATTTATTTTGGCTGATGCAGTATGAATGCATGAAATACATTTACTGCAGTAATATGAAATTATATTTTTATCTCGACATGGTTTCCTTTGATTGTATAAGTTACGAAAGGAAATATCTTAGTCACACTCTGCAAAATCTGTGCATCATACAAAACTTTTATATTGTATTATAGCATCCTGCACATAGTATGATGGCTGTCTATGCTGAGCAAGACAGAACTACAAAAGTGTGACATTGCCATGTATTTTATATTCAGATTTACAGTAAAACTCAGCCATAAACATTGCAGAAGGATTGAATGCTTTTACTTTTAAAATTTATTCTATGTATGTGGGAACATAAAAAAACAAGCTCAGAAATCACATACTAAATTACAGTGAATGATTATATGATTTTAGGATATTTAATAAGAAAATTATTATAAGTACATGTTTTATTTTAAATATTTGTCTAGAAAATATTGATTAAAATGATGTATAAAACTTTAAAAGTGCACAAAAATAATTTTAAAATACGAGGTGCGATCGGAAAGTTTCATGACTGCGCCTATAAAAACACGTACACTTATCTCAGGTATTAAATTCATCCATCACCCTCGAAGTAGTTCCCCTGGGAGTGAACACAACGATCCCAGCGCCGCTGCCAAGCCTGGAAGCATCCCTGGAAATCTTTCTTTGTCAGCCTGTCAAGCACCATCTGCAATTCTGCCTGAATCTCTTCTATCGTCTCAAATCTCCATCCCTTTAGCTGAATTTTCATCTTTGGAAAGAGGAAGAAGTCACACGGAGCTTAGAAAGGAAGCTGGG